TGTCAATTGTCTAAAATCAGGAACAAGACAATGATGTCAACACTCTTATTGAATATAGTTCTGGAAATGTTAGCCAGAGCAGTTATACAAGAGGAAAAACTAAAAGCAATAACGATAGAAAAAGAAGTAAAATTATCATTATTTGCAGATGACATGATACTGTACACAAGACCCCAAAACTTCCACCAAAAAACTTACAGATTTAATATCCAAATTCAGCAGTGTAGTGGGATACAATTCAGCAGTGTAGTGGGATACTCAAAAATCAAGTGCATTCCTGTGCACAAGCAGCAATCTCAGAGAGAAATTAGGGAAAGCACACCCCTAACAATAACATCTAAACAAATTAAATACTTAGGAATCAATCTAACAAAGGATGTAAAAGATCTGTAGAGTGAAAATTATAGTATGCCATAAAAGCTACTGTAGAGGATATCAGAAAATGGAAAGACATCCCTTGCTCTTGGATAGGAAGAAATAATATAGTAAAAGTGGCCATACTCCCCAAACTGCTATAAAGATTTAATGCAATCCCAATCAAATTCCCTTTCTTTTCCTTCCCGGTTTTGGGAAAATACTATTAAAATTCATTTGGAATCAGAAGAGACCTAGAATAGCAGAAGCAATTCTGGGCAACAAAGGCAAGTCAAGGGACATCCCAATCTCAGACCTGAAATTATAATGCTAATGCGATTAAAGCTAATGTGATAAAGCTAATGTGATAAAATCAGCATGGTATTGTCAAAAAACAGGCCTGAGGATCAGTGGAACAGAATAGAAGGTGCAGATGCAACCACAAACACATTCAGCCACCTTATCTTATTGCACCTTGGCAAAGGAGCCAAACATGTTCACCGGAAGAAAGATAGTCTCTTTAATAAATGGTGCTGAAAAATTGCCTCTCCACATGCTGAAGACTATAGCTAGACCCATGTCTACACCATGCCCTAAACTAAAATGGATCAAAGATCTAAATATTAAAATAGAAACACTAAATTTACTGGAAGAGAAAATAGGTAGAAATCTCCAAGTCATGGATGTAGGCAGAGGCTTCATGAACAAAACCCAGACTGCAAAGGAAACACTACAAAGAATCAGCAAATGGCATCTTACCTTATTAAAAAGCTTTTGTGCAAAAAAAAAAATCACCAACAGAGTGAAAAGACAACCCACAGAGTGGGAAAAAATTATAGCCAATTGTTTCTCAGACAAACGACATGTAAAGAATTGAAAAAAATCACACCCACCAAATTCAATGAACCAGTCCGAAAATGGGGATCTGAGATTAATATGCACTTCTCAGATGAAGATACAAATGGTAAATACATGAAAAAATGTTCAACATCATTGTTCATTCATGAGATGCAAATTAAAACAACACAGATTCCACCTCACTCCATAAATAATGACTATCATCAAAAAATTAACCAATAACAAATGCTGGCAGGGATGTGGGGAAAAAAGTTTCTTCTCCACTGTTGGTGGGAGTGTAGACTGGTGCAACCACTGTGTAAATCAGTGTGGAGATTCCTTAAAAATCTAGGCCTAGAGGTCCCATTTGACCCACCTATTCCCTTTCTAGGTATCTTCCTAGAAGAATAAAAGACCTCATACCACAGGGATATATGTGCATCCATGTTTATAACAACATAATTTATAATAGCTAAGTCTTGGAAATAACCCAAATATTCATCAATCAAGGAAATAAATCAGACCCATATGTATAAACATTGTATTGTCTCATTAGTATGAGAAATTGAACAAGTAAATAAAGTCCAACATGTACAATAGATATAGTGAATTAGGAAAAAAAGTAAAGACAGTCTTCGATGGGGGGAAGGGAAAAAGAAAAATATATTTTTATACACAATTGTTAAGACAGTTATATGGCTAGTTTCTCTTAGTTCACTGAAAAGAAGAGTTTGTGCTAAGGGACAAGATATCATACCTATATCTTGTACTCTGAATAACTACTGCAAAGACAGTGCGCAACGTGGGCCAGTGTGGCCCATCTCACCTTGAATCCCGCGTGTCAGGGATGCTGCGGTTGAGGGGCAGCTGGTTGCTGAGGTACACATTGTAGCCAAATCTTTGGAACAGGTCCTGAGCCTTTCTCTGCTCAGCCTCAGCAAGACCCTCACCCCACTGCCGGAATAGCGCAGAGGTTGAGAAGAGTTTCTTTGGCGGTTGGGGCTTGTTTGTCTTGACCACGTTGCCTTGCACTGCCTTTGGGGCAAGGTGAATTTCATCTTCCACCCTCATTAGTGTGTCTCCCACATTTGCTTGTTGCTTCATAGCCAATTTCATATTTTCTTCTGCAAAAGAAGAGGATGAAGGGAGGGAGAAAGCAAAGAAAAAATTTCAGACACCCATAAGTTATCTGAGCAGTACTTTCCATCCTAATTTCCTTGAAATGGTTTTCTTGAAAAAGTTTGGATCTTAAATGTCCCTGCAGGCCTGTGCACTAGCAGTTTGGTCAGCAGCTCATGGTGCTATTGGGAGGTGACAAAAACTCTAGGAGTTGAAGCCTCATGAGAGGTCATTGGGATGTGTCCTTGTCTCCATCCACCACCATGCAGTCAGCTGTGTGCTCCTGCCAGATACATTGCCTTCCCACAGGTCCAAAAACAATGGGACAAACTCATCATGGATTGCAACCACCAAAACTATGAGCCAAACCAATCTTGTCTTTTTTTTTTTTTTTTGGTTTTTCTCCGGTACCGGGAACCGAACTCACGACCTTGCGCTTGCCAGACAGGCGCTTTTGCCACTGAGCTAAATCCCTAGTCCCCAATCTTGTCTTTTCATAAGGTGATTCTCTTGAGTGTTTGTTACAGTAAAGGAAAGGTGACTAAAACATCTTCCAAATTTTAAAATGGACAAATTCTTGTCCTAGAGGGTGTGATGTCAGAGGAACTTATCAGAATCATGTAACATTGTCTTGGCAAAGCACACACTAGGTGTCTCTCTCCCTTCAGCTCTGTCAAAACGTATCTATTTTTCCTCTTTACGGCTCCTCTAGGAGCTGACTTTGATGTAAGAAATAAATTGATAAGAGAATGCTTTTCCAGAATGAGACCTAAAAACCATTTTTTTCAGAATTATGAGTTGTGATTATTTAAAAATGTAGGCATTGATGTTCATTCCTAGATCTTTTAAATTAGAATCTCAGGGTACAGTGGGGACATGAGCAAGAGAAGTTGCCAGAATCTGCATTTTTAATGAAATCAAAGAGTAATTTTTTGTAGAGTAAAATTTTGAGAAATATGGTACTATACAGTAATAGTGGCTGATAAAAGCAAATCTAATCTGACCAGCACCACCATCATCCACTCATGGCATTACTCATGTGTTAAATTCATCAGAACTTTTAACTTTTTAAAACTTTTGATTGCTTCGGGTAGATCTCACAGTTACCTGAGAAACACATGCTTAAACCAAAAGAGTAAATAGTGATAGGCCCAGACTGGGGCTTTCATGCAGGAGAAGCTCTCACTGAGGGTCCAAAACACCAACTGTAATTATGCCAATGAATCCTGAAGCTTTTTCCATCCATTATTTACCTCACCTTTATAACAACCCTGTAATATTCATACTGCAGCCTCTTAATGTATATGCCAAGAACTCTTCTCAAGATCAATCAACAAACTCAGCAAGCAAAGAGAGAGAGAGATTAACAATTTCAGTGCTTAATGATTATGACACTCTTAGGCATATAGTGATCAAGGCTCTCTGCCATTAGACCCATTTAATTTCCACAAACCCTTCCCTGTGGTGAGAATTGTTCTTCAAATCCTGGCAGAGGCATCTCCAGCTTGTGAAGAGTACACATTCAGCTTTCGGTAAGTGCCTTTCTTGTTGGGGTCCTACTTTCACTGTTTCACTCAGTGCCCTCTGAGACCACTAGCCATGCAGAGCAGGATTGGCAGCTTCAGTAGTGCTGCAGCCCATGAATCATACACTGCTGTGGAAGTAACCCCTGTTAAACTCATTTACTGACCAAGCTGGACTTGTCCAAGTAGTTTTTTGGTCTATAGGCCCCCTCTCAGGTCAGACCCAGATGTTTCTTTTTCTCTCTGGGAAATTTATGCAACATCCTCTACACTTACAGTAAATCTTAACCAGTCTGACAGGTTCACCTTCAGCCTATCCAGCATCTCTGTACACGTTTCTCAGAGTTTAGAGACATTGTTTCCTCTGTGAATAGTTGTCATTTTGGACAACTGCAACACAGGGTCACCAACTTGGTAGGAAGATGGTCCCTCTGTGTTCGTCTTTTCTGATTGGGTGCAGTCGCATGCCACAGCACATGGCTTGGTGAGTAGGGTGTGGGGCATATTTCAGATCCATATGTTGCCCCCAAAAGGAGCAGAGAAGTTGTGCACCTGAGAGGGAGCTATGCTTAGAGATGACAAAAATTGGTCTAAAAAGAGAAAAAGGAGGAGAATCAACTAAAGTGCTCAAGACAAAAAGAGGATGGTCAAAGAAGACTTAGGAAGAAAATGTGATGGTAAGTCTATCAAAGAAAGGTCACATGAATACCATGTGCATTTGCTCAGGTGGGAAAAACAAGTGAGAGAGCAAAGTTCACTGTGTTCTACATGGAAGAATATTATGCTCATAATTCTTGGAACTAAGCACATGGGGATATCAGGGTGGTACTGGGTTTTCCTTGCCTCTAAATTCCTCTGCACTTCTTCTTTTTTGAGGGGTCAGATTTTCCCTTCACTAACCCATGGGAACTTGTTTGGACCTTGACATCCTAAAATAAATCTGAGGCAGTGCAGACCATCTTAAAAATGAATCCAGGGCTACTAAGTCATTCTCACAATTTACACTGACAATTTCTAAGCTCCACAGGGTCACACCCAATGACATTACTCTGGGGAGGCTTCCAGGAGCCTCTGGGGAGGCTTCCGGGAGCCCCAAGGGAGGTTCTCACAGAGTGTAGAGTCATTGTTTCCTCTGTCAATAGGGATGTAATTGTCACTATGTATTAAATTTAACTATCACTGTGTTAGATATAATCTATTTGATTTTTCCAAATATCCTTATTGACTTATGGTTTTCTTTAGTCTTCCTGGAACCAAGGATGACAGGTAATTCAACACAACTTTCAGTCACAGGAAGAGATGTGGGACGGAAGGACAGCTGTAATCTGGAAAGACAGCCCAGAAACACTTTGAGGTCATCTTGGGTGGTGGTGAGTCTCTGGCACATCATCTTAGAGTGGATGAAAGTGGGTAGGCCAAGATAAGAAGACTAGGAGGAAATGGCCACTGCAGAGAAAAAAGGGGAAAGAGAACAGCTGGTCCCACACTGGGTCCCAGCTGAAGCAAAAGATGCCCACCATTTTGTTTCAAGGAGGTCTGATGAGCTGAGGGTTGGGTGGAAGAGTCTGAGTGCCTTCTGGGTGTCTGCCAAGGAGTGGCAGAGTGCTGCAATCACAGCTGGGGTCACAGTCCTGGTGAAGTTGCCTTGCACAGTTGCATGAGTGCTGTTGCACCCAGCAGGGGAGCCAGCTGTCTCCCTTTTGTTTCATCCATTCTCTCACCCTTTGTCATTTCTCCCTTCCTCTCTGTCTGCCTGTTTCTTCTTCCTACATTTATTTATTCACCTACTTAACATCTATGCATACGCAGAAATGAGAGGTGAACAATATATTCATGAAACAAACCTCACTTGCTTTCTAGAAAATTGTATCACAGCAAAATATGATGAGTTTCATGTGGGTGGCAGAGAAAGTGCTTATGCCTCCTCCTCTCCTGGTTCCTGCTCCCCATCTCATTTCCCTCTCTCCTTCTTGTCACCACATGAACTCATTGTTTCTGTCCTTGGACACTTAACTTCTCTTTCTCTTTTTCTCTTTCTCTCTCTCTCTCTTTCCTTTCTCTTTCTCTTCTTTCCCTTCCCTGCCCCCACCTTCCCCTGGTTTCTTCTCTCCCTCTCCTTCCTGCCATCCCTGCACCTCACCCTGAGCCTTGCTAACACCCATTTCTCATTTCCACACACCCTGCCCCGCTTTCTGGCACATATTCATCCTAGTAGTTGAGTTCCTGCTTGCACATTCAGAAGTGCCCTGAGTGTACAAGCACTTGACCCCTGTCACTTGGGGAATGGAGAAAATCATCACTTCCTTCACTGAAGTCTGATGCTGAGGCACACACAGGTCAGAGGAGTCAGTCTTCCTCAGGGAGCCAGAATCACCAGGAAACCCAGCATGGGTGGGAATCTTACTCTGAAGTTTAAATGAAGAGGTTTAAAATCAGCCACAGAATTGCTTTCTGCATGTATACTCTAACCTTGTGAGGTCAGACAGGTATCTGTAGTTATCATGATCCTTATCATGCTCATTTGCCTTTCCAAAAGAGCCTGAAGCTGAAGGACAGGTGCTGTGCTAAAAGTCACACACACAAGGGCCAGATTTGGTCTGGGCCTGCAGCAGAGCCCCCACCAGGTCACAGCCTTTGTCACAGCCTTTGCCATCTCTCACCTGCACTCTTGACACACATAAGTCCAAGGGTAGGGCTGTGCCTGGATGTTCCTGACTTTCACAGCCTCACTCTACATAATGCTGATGTGGTGTGCATGTGCATGTGCACGTGCGTGCGTGCATGCATGTGTGTGTGTGTGTACACAAGCACACAAGCTCCCATAACCGTTTCTGTTCTAGCGCTCCCTTGCCCACACCATCTGCTCCCATTTTCACTCCTACCCCCCTCGTCATCAGTCCCTATCTCCCATCAAAAGGCACAAAGGCAATGCAGAAGTGAGCAACTGGACGAGGAGAATGCGGCCGCTCCCTCCCACCATGCCCACATGTGTACACACGTGCAAGCCCATGTGTGCACCCCCCAGCACATTAGTGTGCTGCACTCACTCAGCTGCTGCACAGCCACCTCCAGGTGGGACAGCCTGTTCATCATAGTCTCGTCCCTCTCAGATGGAGGCCGATGGGTCTCCTTGTGAAGACCATCCCGAATCAAGTTCTGCACAGTCTCTTTGGTGTGAAACACCAGGAGGAGATTGGCAGCAAGGACCAGAATCAGCCCGAGGCAGAGGACTTGGGGGAGGCTTCTCCTGAGCATCTCCACCTGTAGCTCCTCCACAGTTGAGCACCACACCGCCCTGCCAGTTGAGGAGCAGCTGTCCTCTGCTGGCTCCCTGCTGCGGAGCCAGTTGTTCTCTGGCCAGGAAAGCAGTGGCGGTGAGCTGCCTAACTTCTCTCTGAGCAGCGTCAGGTGTGTGGAGCATGCCAGGGACGCTCCCCAGAGATGGGTGGGTCAGCTGAGCACACCTTGCCCTGCCTCAGAAGCCAGGGAAATGGCCAGCTGCCTGGGTGAGAGTGATCTCCCTGTCTTGCTCCCTCTCTCCCTGGAGACTGATGGGACATGTGAGGTTTGATAGTGTGGGAGTCAGAAAGCACAAGAAAGGAGCCCACAGAGCACCTGTGGTAGATGCTTGTGGGGAATGCAGATACTAGGGACCTCTCTGCCCAACTGTACAGGGTCACAAGCACAGCAGTGCTGCAGCATTGTATGCTCAGCCTCACTGCCTGCAGACACCGAGCCTGGGGTGACCTGCCTAGCTGGTTCCTGTCTCCACAAATTCTCCATACAGCTCTGGGCTTTGGGATTCTCCGTGACATAGCTTCCAGGAATCCCTTTGTCTCCACCCCCTCCATTTACTATGTCTTGGACAAATCACTTAATTACCATCATTAAAAATGGTCCTCCAGGGGCAGAGTTCAAAGTTCTCAGTCTCCTGTTTGGTGTCCCTCCCTCCTGTGAGCATAACTGCCATGTTCACTGACCCTGGGCAGATAAGCACTGAGGTGCACATGGGCATCAGAGACATGCAGCTCGAAGGAGTGGAGGGAGAATGAAAAAGGATAAAAGGGAAGGTAAATGGCTATTTTTGCATGAATTAGCAATAATCGTGCTGCAGATAAACCTCACTGACTATGACACTGCCACTGCGCAAAGTTTGTTTTTGCATCAATAAAAGTCTTCCCCAGGCTTCACCTGCAAATTTGGAATCCAAGCTTTTGTGACTCTGGGTTGGGCTGGATAGACACACTGGGCTCCGTTTTTCTCTTCTACTTCAGGCAACAGAAAACCCTGGACATTACACACGAAAGAAACAGGGAGATTCCAAAAAAGCAGACAGAAAAGTGAAGATTGGCCGGAGGTCCTCGGACCCAAGGAAAGACGTAGATGTGAATTCCACAGGTTTTCTTTTACCCTAATACTTTAAAAATTTTTAAATCATAGATGAGCTTCAATAGCAAAATGAAGAAGACAAAAGGAGAAAAATCAGTGAACGTGAAGATAGGGCAATAAATATATCCAGTTTGAACAATGAAGAGAAAATAGACTGAGAAATAACAACAGAACTTCAGAGGCTGGTAAGGTTATAACAATAGATTTAGTATTCACATCATTGGAGTCTCAGATGAGGAGACAAAAATGTGGGACTGAACAAGAATCTTAAGAATAAAAACAATATACAGTGGAATTACAAGGGTGAACTCCTACCATCTTGTCTAGTAAAACTCTCTAATATCTCTAATGTTTTATTGAAGAATTATTTTCTTTATCTTTTTAATGGTTTGAGCAATCTTTCATTCTTACATCTGATAATCTGAGCAATGTAGTTGAGGATAGCAGTAACTTAAAAACTACTGTTGATTTGTATTAATTTGTCTTGAGACCCTGTACCACTTTGAATGTTTTTGCTTTGATTTGTTTATATTCGTGACAATGGTACGCTGCTACTGTTCTATTTTTTTGTTTGTTTGTTTCTCATGTACTACTCTCTTTAAAATAAAAAAAATTTTAAAAAAAAGAATAAAGGCTGAGGGTTGGGGATGTAGCTCAGCAGCATAGCGCCTGCCTGGCAAACATGAGGTCCTGAGTTCCATTCCTGGTGCTGAAAAAAAGAAGAAAGGCTGAAATTTATCTGACATTGCCAAGACATGTAAACCTAAAGGTTTAAGGAGCTAAATAAAACCCAAATAGAGCAAACACAAAGAAATATTTGCCCAGAATATCGTAATCAATCTTCTGAACATCACATAAAAAAAATCCTTGAAAGTCGCAAAAGAGCAATGAAACAATTCCAATGAGAATTCTCAAGAAAATTACAAAGCCAGAATGAAGTAAATCAACATTTTTCAAGTGTTGAAAGAAACACCCCTCCAATCCTACATTCAACAAAAATATCCTTCAAGAACGAGGGAAAATCAAGACATTTTGAAAAAGAAGCCTCAGAGATCTGTTGCCAGTAGGCTTATTTGGGAAAGGGGTTGAGACAGTGTCTCAGTATGTCAGCATGTAGTTAGGGCTGACCCCGAACTCACTATATAGCTGAAGCTGGCCTTGAACTTAAAGCAATCCCCCTGCTTCAGCATCCAGAGCACTGGGTTTAAACATGTGCACCACTAGGCCCAGCCCAGCAGCATGTTTATCTTAAATGAAGAGATACAAAAATGTTCTAAATGAAAAAATGACAGAAAGAACTTAGGAAAATCAGGAAGAAAGAACAAACAACAAAAAGGGGAAAAATAGGAGTAAATAGAAGAGGATTTCCTTCCTCCTCCTGAGATTGGTAAATCATGTTTGACAGATGGAGCAAAAAATCAAAACACTGCTTGATATGCTTCTCTAAGTGTGTGTAAGAGAAATTTATGGGAATGGGTAAAAGAATTTAAAATAAAGTAAGGTTTCCACAGGTCCCTAGAACTGATAACTAGTGTAACCAGTAGTTCACACTGGAATGGTCATCGGGTGTCTTGATGGCATGAATCTACAGGGGGTAAAACAGCACAGGAACATGTGCACACAGTACCGATATCCGTTTTCTGGTTGTTTGCTTTTATACTTGTCTTAGCCACTTTTCTCATCACTCGTACAAAACTTGACACCAAACACTAAAGGAGAAGAGGTTTCAGTCCATAGTTCGCTGGCTCCAAATAGAGTGTGGCAGAGAGCTGCTTACAGCATAAGGGTCAGAAAGCAAAGTCCAGAGAGGAACGGAGGGAGATGGATCCTTCCAGGACCCTCCTGTAGGGCCCTGCACCCCTGACAGACTCCACTGCCCAACTTTGTGTTCAGTTATGAACTTATCAATGGATTAAGCCACTGATTACCACTCCCCTATGATCCAGCCATTTCCCCACAGCCCCACCTATGAATCCATGAGGCTTTGGGGAACATCTAGATATAAAACATGGTAATACTACTTTTGTAAACCCTGAGTTATATATCAAAATTACATTTGTAAAAGCATGATATTGTCCCATACAAACTGACCACATGTGGTTGGCTCCAATGAACTTACAAATGCTTTATTAAAAACATACAAAAAGCTAAGCATGGGGCTAGGGATTTGGCTCAGTGGCACAGTGCCTGCCTGGCAAGCGCAAGGTCATGAGTTCAATTCCTGGTACCGGAAAAAAACCAAACCAAAAAAAAGCTAAACATGATGGTGCACACCTATAATTCTACAACTTGGGAAACTGAGACAGGAGAATCATGAGTTCGAGGCCAACCTGGACTATATAGGGAGACTTTGTCTCACAAATAATTTTTTTTAACTAAAAATTAAATTGCACAAAAAATTGGAATTTTTGACCACCCAGTATTGAGCCATGACTTGTAATTTAGTGTAGCCTGCATTCTGAGTATATTTTTTCTTAAGTATATGTTTTGACATTAAAAAACAACCTGCATTTACCTCTGGAAGTGGTAGGGGATCAAAGAACTGAGGGAGAGAGGTCGTAAGGAGATTAACTTCATTGTAGAGTTTTTTATATTTTCAAAGTTCTGTATCATGTTACATTAATTATCTATCAAAAATAATTAATTACATAAAAATTGCACCATATTCTGTGTCACCGTATTGTGGTCTGGAATAAGATGGAAGGGACTAGTCAGTTAGAGAGACTAGTGAACATTCCCCTCTGTAGTCCTTACACCTGTCCTTCCTGTCCACAAATTTGATGTGACTTCCCAGGAAAGGGGACACATCTCCTCACACAGCTAAGCCCTGCTCAGGAGTTGGGAGTTGACCTCCAATGGTCAGGTCATAAAAATCACCTGAATAGCTTCACAAAATTGCGGACTTCCAGGTTCTGGCCTGAAAGATTTTAATTTTTTTTTTCTGGTACTGGGAATTGAACTCACGACTTCACGCTTGCCAGGCAGGCACTGTGTCACTGAGCTAAATCTCCAGCCCCATGAAAGATTATAATTCTGTCAATCTGTTAAGAGACTTAAGCTCCTTAATTTTAACAAATATTTCATTTTTGAGTGAACCTTTGGTGGTTTGTAATGTTGCTGATGATTCAGTGGAAGAACTGAGAAAGTTCTGTTTTTGCAAAGAAGTGAACAGTGCTACCAGTATAATGAAGACTGACAAGGATAAATGCCCAGTGGTACCAGATGAGGAACCTGAGGGCACTTCACTGGGTAAATTTAAGACACGCTACCTGAATGACAACCTCACTCTAGTGTGCACGGTTATAAAAATCTCCATGATGATGGAAAGTGTGTACCTTCTGGGCTTTGTCCCCCCGAGTCCTGGTGGAGGGAAGTCTGAACAGTGAGGACGGATGCTGCGAGTAAGAATGAGTTGGTCCAAACAGCCGAACTAACCAAAGTATTTGAAATAGAAAACACTGAAGACCTCACTGAAGAGTGAACTTCTGTGTTCCTACAGTATTTATGTACTAATTCGACCACACTGGAACCAGACATAAGTACTTATTGATGCCTAAAAATGCACTGCTGCTTACAGTTTATTTCCTGTAGTAAAGAAAAAAAAAATCTTCATTTTTGCAAAGTTTGAACACAGAGGAAATCTTCTTCATAAGTAATGGAACTTTGGAAAGTCCTTCCTTGTATTTGTGATTGTTATGTGGCCTCCTTTCTCTAGGGATTTTTTGCACAGTTGTGACTAATTTCTATAACTATGGTTCAGAACTCATTTGCATTTACAGACACCACTGGAAAGTGGGCATTAGATTGTGATAGGCAACTCTTGCCTCCTTTTGACAATCATTGGATATTAGCAGTTTATATATATGAAAATAGCATATTATCACTTGTCAAATTGTCTAAATTAATTTGGATTAAACATTTGACCACCCA